GCTTGAAGACCTCCCCATATATATATACTAAGTCATCGGCGGTTTCACGGAATATGAAACGATAAGCCATAATAAATGGTCGTAGGTTTCATGACCATTGAGTTTCCCGTCATTAAATTGTATTCAATTTATTTATTTATTATTATTATTATTATTATTATTATTATTATTATTATTATTATTATTATTATTATTATTATTATTATTTTTGGGTTATTACAGAGAGCTAAGATCATTTGTTAACCATGCAAAATGTATTAACTATACAAACTATTTAGACTAATCATAAGCCTTTGTTAGATTAGGTTTTATAATCACCATACAATTAATATTGAAGACACAATGATAATCTTCTTCTTTTTTTTGTCTTAACTTCACATTTATTAATGGGCGGTTACAAAAACATCAATCCATGATTATAGCTAAAATAATATGTTTATTTTTTTTTTCAAATTATAGATGACTTATTATTTTAATATGATAAGAAACTTCGATGTTCTATCTTCAACATTTATGTAGTCGTCAATGTTCATATGGTATATATATTGTTCACATGTGTTCCAATATGTTTACAAAACAATATCTATATACATCTAACATTTGGTCAATATGTGTTCACAAGCAAAACACTTTGATCATATATTATTGTGTTCACATGTGAAAACCAAGTACTTTAGTGTTCATAAGTTTTAATAGGTGCAAATAAGTGTTCATAATTGTTCCCTTATATTCATATATGAAAGCCACGAACTAAGATTAGTGAATAAGTTATATATATGTTCATATGTATTCATAATGCAACACAGATGATTCTACGAACTATAAAAGGAATGAACAATTACCAATTTGTAACTGATGTAATTAATTAATTAATTATCGATCTGTAACTGATTTGAACATCTCTCCCATAAATACCCATGTTCACCTATGTTTTGATATTGACGGATGCCGAGTCCACCAAATAATAAATTTCAACTAACGACTAATTACAACCAAAATTGTAGTAGTGTAAGTCGGGTCGAATCCACAGAGACTCGGTCTAACGTTATACGACTAACGAATTAAGTACACGATGGAAACGTAAAAATACTAATAATCACGAAGGGGGGGGGGGTTGGATTTGATTAATTACTCTAAAAATGCAATAAAATATAAACTAAAACAATTGATTAAAGTCCCAACATCGATTTAATACCGGTTAAGATGTTAGTGCCTATCATCGATTCCAAAAATGTAAACGGAAAGGACAAGCATGAATTGGCTTTAATCGTTAACAAGCTCTAACGACCCACATTTTCCATAGATAATCGTTGAGTAGAATAAGCTCTCTAATACCCCCTTAACCACAAATACAAGTTTAAATAAGCTCTTAAACTCGTAGGTGTGACTAGCTTTACCGGACTAGAAAAAGTACCAATTCAAAGCCATAAGCTCATAAGCTCGGCTTATTGAGGCTTAAATTGCAAGATTTCAAATATTCCATCCGGAAACCTTATCGAAACCAAATGAATACTAGTGTTACTCTATCAAAATTCTAAGACGATTACGTATCTAAGAATTCTGAATAACCATTCCATAAGAGAATTCCAATCAGTTAGTTAGACTAATTGAAAACCCAAATACGATAAACAATAAGTTCAGAAATCAAGCAAAAATGCTTATTCAAACATGTTTACAATGAAATCTCAAAGCAATAACAAATCAAAACCTAATTAAATCAATGTTGGAATGAACAAATTAGCAAGACATGGCTAAACTAGGTTACTGATTCTCGCATCCGTCTTTTCCAATGGAACCCACTGTCGACTTCTTCAATCGCTCCCATGTCTTCCTTCTTCTCCAGTCGAACAGCCCCTGCTGTCTCTGTCTTCTTCAATCGAACAACCGACTGCTGTCCTCGTTCACTCTCGTCTCCGACTTCTCCAATCGAACAGCCTGATGTCCGCTTGTTGTCCGCCTCCTCTCGAACAGCTCCAATTCCCCTGTCGAACAGCCCTATCTTCTCTAGTCCAATTCCAATCGAACCAGCCTCCGTCTCTCTCCCTCGCGACTGTCTCTTCAATCCAACAGCCCCTGCTCTCTCTCCAATCGAATTCTCCATTTAAAACCTTCGAACCCACGTCTTCTCCCGCTTCAAACCCCACGAAATCGCTCCCTCTTGCCCACGAACTCTTGCCGTCTCCTCCCCTCTCGATCCCACGTACTGTTTCCGATCCAATATTGGGAGAGGATATGGGCTTAGTTGGGCTTGATGAAGTCCACAAAAATATTTCTTTTTGGGCTGGACTTCTACAAACAAAAAATAATATAGATTAAATAAACACATTTTTTCTCACAATGATGAAAATAAAAGACTTTTTAACCTTAATTTTCAACCAAGAAAATATAGCCATCAGATATCCTTCATTTTTAATTAATTACAAATATACCATGATTGTTCTCATCCATAGATTTAATTAATTAAAAATAGTATCGACATTGAAAACTTTAAAAACACACACCAACATATATACCGTTTGGTGCATAAATGTTAATTTTTTACACATCCTAGCGAATCAATAATTACTTTCTACAAGCAACGAGATAGTTTGCGTAAACAATGACCCAACAAACTTAAACTATACAATATTTATAGCGTACACAATTTGCCCTTGGAATAATGATTTATTTGAGCCTTTCACATTGTTTTGATGCTACCATTTTCAAGAGACACTATCTCGGTGAGCCGTTGCATAAGTAATTCAAAGTCGTCTTGGCTCTTGATGAGACTAAGTCGCACATGACGATCTTTGGCACTGAACGCACTACCAGCACGACCTATGATGTTTCCTGCTTCTAACACTTTGCCACAGTCGTCTTCTTCTTCTAGCTCGCATTTTACCCATGCATAAGCTGTAATGATCATCACGACACGTTATATTAGAGAGTCCAATCACAATTAAGTGAATGAGATAATTGAGGAATGCAATAATTAAGTGGATAATATAATTAAGAAATTTAATAATTAAGTAAATGAAGTATTTAAGGAATGTGATATCAATATATAAAAAAGACAAAAATACCCCGGTTAACAAAGTTAATACTAATTATTTGGTTATCATAATAAGTGAGCCCCCCCCCCCCCCTTTTTCTCTCTCTCTATATATATATAGAGAGAGAGAGAGAAAGAGAGAGGTTGGTTATTATACAACCATTAACATTTGTGCAACCAATACAACCCAATCTCAACCGTTCATTTCATTTGATTAATATGTGATTTAA